CATCGGATTCTGCTTAAAGAAGGAGCTAAATTAGTGAGACAACCCCTTAATCCTTTTATTCTTGACGTGAAAAATGAGATCATGTTCACGTGCCCATTCGACACGTTTACGTATCGAAGGACCTTCTTTGATCCTGGAATAAAAGACGAAGGCATTACTAAAAATTTCAAAAACAATGGTCAGTGCCCAAAGCTACTCCATGAGAGCCCCACTTTGGAAGAAGATACTGAAGAAGAGCTCTCTTTAGGAAATGCTGCTTATGCGATCATCTATCCACCTTGACTCCTCGGGTGTGTCCTTTCCTATCTCTCTTCACTTTTATTTTATATTTCTGTTCTTTCATTGAGGACAATGTATGTTTTAAGTGTGGGGGAGAGAATAATTTCTTTGTTTCGTTTGTTTTCCTTGTTTTTGTTAGTGTTTTGTTTGTTTTCAGTCAAATAAAAAAATGCATCTTCTTGAAAGTTCGAGGCTATAGTCTAATTTGAGATTAGTTTACGGAGACCTGGGAAAAATTCACAAGATCGGTATCGTCTTAACACCGTAAGTCTCCTGCATGTGGAAATTGATTTGAATACTCTTTATGTTTTAGCCTTGAATTTTCATTCTCTGACAGCTCTTGAGTAGTTTATTTCAGCAGTCAGTACCATCTCATACACACTCTACGCAGGGAAGCCGATGAATATAAGTGAGTGATCAAATTGAAAAGAAAAAAAAATAAAAAGAAGAAAAAAAGAAAAATAAAAGAAAAGAAAAAGTTGAATTTTTTTTTATTACTCGTTAGTTGGTTCAGCGGTTTCTGGTGCTGAACTTGGTAGGGCGGATTACGGTCCGATCCCCCGCAACTACAATTGAGTCGGCAAAGGGTTATGCCACGTAAGTACCAGAACCCCAAACAAAAAGGATCAGAGTCACTAACCGGTCGCCTTGCTATGAGTGTGTGGAGATAACAGGCTTAATGTGATTGCGCCTGAATGAAAAAGAGCAAAAAAGAGGAAGAGTAAGTTAGGCTTCAACATAATAACATGATTCGAATTGATTTGTATATTCAGGAGGTTTATGTCTGCACAATTGTGGATTAGTGTTCCTACGATATCCTTAGTGTGTAAGATTAGTACCTATCGATGCAAACTTAACCGAAGAAGACTTACAGCCTGGAATGAGTATCTGTTGATGTGTTTGTGCTTTCTTTGTTGTGTTTTATTTTAATTTTGCTCGGAATGCAAAAGTTCAAGTGTGGGGGAATTTGATCAGTGCATATTTATGCACATTCTCCTATATTTTTACTTAGACATTTCTTTACTTTATTTTGATTATTTTTATGTTTTATTATGCTTTTTACATTTTATTTTATTTTTGGTTTAATTTGATTTTCGCACTTTATTTTTCAGCTTTAGCAGTCTGCACGGAAACAATCATAACTGGAGCTCCGGGAATCCGTTTGAGGCGTTCAAAAAATCGTCGGAAAGCTAAGAGAGAGAGCTACGACTTTCGTGTTGGAGCCGAAATCAGATTCGGAGCTCAAAATTCCAGAATTCCGTTTCAAGTTACATCATTAGGAATTTGTTTTAGTTTTGGGTCATGTTTTGGGTCTGGGTTATATTTTCGACCCAGTTGGGTTATGACCCGAATTCTGGTTTTTTTCCTCTTTAGTCTAGGTCTGGCCGGATAGCCAAAAATCCTATTCACTATTCACGAAAAAAATATTTGGAAGCTTGTACTATTCGAATGGAGGACTAATCCCAAAGAGTCAATATGCTGTAATCGCGTCCCAACGCTTTGAGGTTTATACTTTATCAATTTAATTCTTTCTCTTTCAATACTATTCTATGAATTGCATTTGCTTAATCTGTTAGTTTATAGAATTGTTTTGATTAAATTCGTATGATTGCATCCTTAACTTTTATTCGCCGTTACGTCGCTTTGTCGTTAATTCGCGTTTGTAATTCGTGTTTGCTTAATTCACGAAAACTTAATCCGTTTGCTTAATTCGGAATATAGGATTGTCAATCTAGTTTATGTCTTTTGCGCTTGTCAATTGACATAGGAATCGAATAGAGATCGAAGCCGCTTAGAAAATTGGTAAGGTAGAAACCCGTGATAAGCCGGAACCGAAAACAGTAGATTGACTTATTTTAATAATCATTTTTTTTATTTTCAGTATTTTTTCTCTTAATCAAAATTCAAACCCCCATAAATTGTTACTTTATTGGTCAATCACTACAAGAATCCTTGTGAGACGATATTCCGAGTCACTGTCGTTGTACTGCATTTTCCTAAAATTACTCGTTTTTGATCCGCGCGCGACAGCGGATCACTCTTCGTAGCACCAGGATGGATACTCAATCTACTTCGATGTCCTTCCTCAAGAATACTCTTTTTCAACTCAACAATATCTGGAACATAAGCTCTATCACGACATCTCATGATACCATTTTCATTAATCCGAAAATCAGCTCTTCGACTTTGATGCATCAAATTCAACCGATCTACCAACCCAAATCAAATTTCTGACCTTCTCGAATCTCATCAAGAATACCACTAGTAAGCTTCAACATACCAAGCTTAACTTCATAAGAAATATCTTCACAAACCAAAATCATATCTCGAAATTGCTGAATTAGTTCTAACTCTTTTACCATCATCATCGGTATATGTAAGATTTCCTACTCAATGCATCAGCTACCACACTTACTTTATCCGAATGGTAATTCAAACCAAAACCATAATCCTTCAGAAGTCTCAATCATCTTCTTTGCCTCGCATTTAATTCTTTCTGATCAAAGAAATACTTCAAACTCTTATGATCATTAAACATCTTAAATCTCGAACCAAACAAATAATGTCTCCAAAGCTTCGAAACAAACACGACAACAACCAACTCTAAATCCTGCATTAGATAATTCCTCTCATGCACTTTAAGTTTCCTTGAAGCATAAGCTAAAACTTTCTGATGTTGCATTAACACACCTCCCCATTCCATCAACAAAGCATCACAATATACAACAATGGTTCTGCCAGATTCGGCAAAATCAAAACATGAGCTGCTGTCAGCCTTCTCAAAAGCTCTTGAAACTTTCTTTGACAAAAGAACCTTGTGTGTCATGACCTAGAATTTTTATGCCAGTCAACTATTCCCTAGATTCCTTCGCTGAAAGAACCTGAGGATGGAAATTCAGCATACAAACAAGATCTCAAAATATCTCCATGCTTTCTCATAAACCTTCCTGGAAACTCACATGTATTTTCCACACTCTTTACCCTTCAAATTTATCCTAAAACCCTTCCAAGTCAGTCAAGTATTTCTAGAAAATATTCCATAGATTCCTTCGCAGAAAGAACCTGAGGATCGAAATTCAGCATACAAACAAGATCTCAAAATACCTTCCTGGAAATTCACATGTATTTCTACACTATTTAGAAGCCTATATAGATAATAGAGACTTAGCATCAAAACCATATAGATACATCCAAAATCAACTTCTAAAAAGATCACAACAAAATCTATGAACTCTTCAGCCATGGATCAAATAGTAGATTGGTCTCAACTCCCCATTGAGCTATGGCCAAAGATAGGAAACTATCTTGGTAATCACATAGATGTCCTCAGATTTCGCAGTGTTTGCGAATCATTTCGTTCTTCCATCCCTCCTTCTCTTCCAAATTCTCCTTCTTTTCCATTACAATATTTGTTTGTCAACATAAAGCCCTCAATGAAGAACATGGTGAAATTTTCAAATGACAATACTCTAGCAGCTGAAGGTATTGGTGATGTTCTCATTATAAGGAAATATGGCAAGAGGTTAGTAATTTCCAATGTATTGTACATACCAGGCATGAAGAGTCATTTGCTCATAGGGCAGGTGGTCAAAAAGAACTATAAGGTGTCAATTAAAGACAAGATGATGAAAGTTCTCGACTTAAATAGAAGGTTGATCTTGAAGGCTCCAATGTCTCAGAATAGATCCTTCAAGATTGAACTTCATGTGATGGAGCATAAGTGCCTAGCAACTGCAACCAACAGAGATGAATGGATATGGCATTATAGAATTGGAAATCTCAATTTCAAAGACATAAGAGATTTGAAGAGAAGAAATATGGTTTCAGAATTACCAAAAGTCGACATCCCAAACGATGTATGTGAAGAATGTGTGCAGGTGAAGTAGCACAAGAATAGCTTCAGCAAGGATGTGGGAAGCAAGTCAAAGGCAATTCTTGAAGTTATATACTCTGATATATGTGGTCCTATCCAGGTGGATTTGATTGGAGGTAACATATACTTAGTCACTTTCATAGATGATTTCAGTCGAAAACTGTGGACTTACCTGATTAAGAAGAAAAATGAAGTGATCGAGGTATTTTCCAAATATAAATATATGGTCGAAAAACAAAGTGGTCGGAAGCTAAAGATTTCAAGGACTGATAGTGGTGGAGAGTATGTGTCAAAAGATTTTAATGCATTATGTGAGAAAGATTTTGATGCATTATGCATAACTCACTTCAAAATAAAAATATTCACTTACGTCAAAACGTCCTTATCACTGTTCGCTGTTGAAATCATTATACTCTTTCTCAAAATATACTTTTAAATCCTATGACTTACTTCAAACATTAATGATTGTCAAAATCTCAACTAACACATACAAGATTCCAAAAAAAAAAAAAAATACCCTTAAACACAAGAAACACAAAACAAATGTACAAAGGTAAACACAAGACCCTACCAATGTAGCATCGTATCATCATGTGTGGTCACGAGGAAATAATTAAAACTTGAAAGCCATGCCAAAGCCATACCTTACCTCCATGCAAATTCTCATTTGATTAATTTCTTCGTTACAAAGCTTAGAACCACAACCTCCTTTGTTACATCACATACTATATTATTCCCATCCCCTCTCAATGGAACACAACAGTGCTACAAATCATCAACTTTGTTTGTACAATTCTGCAAACAAAAAACAAAAATCGAAGAAACTTTCAATCATTAATTCATAGCCATGCCAAACCGTTACGTTGGATCTGGTTTGTTTGGTAGACCACTTCACTCAGTCCTTGGCGGAGGAAAAAGTAAGACTCGAATATTTTTATCGCGACGATTAAGACTCGAACATTTTCTTTTGTGATATGATTGGTTTGATTTTGCAGTTGCTGATATCTTGCTATGGAAAGACAAGTATTTATCTGCGGCAATTGTAGCTGGATTTTCGATGATTTGGTTTCTCTTTGAAGTGGTTGAATATAATCTTGTTACTCTTCTATGTCACATCCTCATTGCCCTTATGCTTATTCTCTTTGTTTGGCATAATGCAGCTGGATTAATCACTTGGTAATTAATTCAATTCACAACCTTACAAAAAAAAATCAATATTCAAAAATATTCTTTAGTAACATTATTTACTTTTGTTGTACTTCAGGAGACTTCCTGATATCTATGATTTTGAAATCTCGGATTCAACGACTAGATTCATTCATAATAAGTTGAACATGTTCTTGAGAATATTCTTTGACATTTCAACTGGAAAAGACCTCAGATTTTTCTTCGTGGTATTGTGAATTAAAACACTTTCAATTATTATCAACGACCATATATTATTCGTTTTTAAAAATGTGTAAGACTGACTACAGCACAAAATTCAAAATTTATCACAGTGGTAAAATAAGATCATATAATATATTAAATATGTTTTATAATGGTTGAATGTGACCCTATACATGCTTTTAAGTATTAAATATGTTTATAATTAATTTGTTTGTTGATATTAAAATGATTTAATTTCAGACAATAGCTGGTTTATGGATAATGTCTACTATTGGAACTTTCTTCACCACTGTTAATTTACTATATACAAGTAAGATTCCAATTACAAATTTATTTTATTATTTATATTTTATTGTTCATTATTGATATGTGACTTTTATGGTATGTATTATTTTGTACAGTATTTGTGTGCCTTGTGACACTTCCTATTATGTATGAGAGATATGAGGAAGAGGTGGATTATCTAGCAAGTAAAGGAAGCCAAGATGTGAAGAGATTGTTCAGCAAATTGGATTCCACAGTTCTCAATAGGATTCCAAGGGGACCTGTGAAAGAAAAGAAGCACAAATGATTATAGATTTTCTCTTCCATGCAAGAATAAAAATATAATAAATGTACTCTAAATTGGCAATCAGCAGATCTGTTTCCTGCTTTGAATATGTAAATGAAATCTTCATGCTTATATCTTTCTACTGACTTGATATGATGACACTCTCTTTCATTTACAAGTTAATAATCGTGTATTCCACCAAGTCTTTAGATCCATGATAAACTTCACTATCAAAATCTTTTTGACTTGTGGTTTAGGTATTACCTGCATACTTTTCACATTCACATGAAGCACCTCGTTGCAGGAAGTTTCTCCTTTTGATGATATATGTTATACATCAAACAGAACATCTCTATTGAGTCTCCTTTGAAATTAGGTCTTATAACTTCAACCTATTCACACCTTTTGCATAAATGACAAATACCCAATTTTTCTTCTTTAGATTACGTTTGGATCAGTATTTTCTAGTAAAATCTATATAAGTTGGAGGAAAAAAAAAAACAAATTTAATTACCAAGATCAAATGGGTTATTTGTTCATACCTTATTTGGAAGCAAATGAATTTTTTTTTACAATTGAACCAAAAGGTCGGCAAATAGTATATTTTAATAAGATTGTACCCACAACCATCGTTAAAATCTCAATAGGTTATAGTAATATTATTTGTTTCTAGAGAAAAAGTAATAGTAACCAAGGCGAGGTATTCATAACAAATTTGGTAGAGAACATCGTGAATTAGAAAAAGAAAAAATGAAGATGGAGTATTTTATAAATAAGATGATTTATACTTCTATTGTTTTAAAGTTTTTTTTGATAAATATTTAGTGTCTTTCTCACTTCTTTGAGTATTTTGACTTTTAAATAAATGATCGAATGTAGATACTTCCTTCTCATGATGACCCATCAGTGGTATCAGAGTTTAGTTCAAGTAAGAGATCAACTTCTTGTATCGAAAATCTTTCTAACATGGTGGTAGTCAGGTGGCGTGTCTCTTTGAAGTGTCCGTTACGAGATAATGGTGTCTCTCAACATAGGTACAAGTATGTGGACGAAAGAGCTTACTCTTGAGAGAGAGCATAATGGATGAAGTCACACTTGAGGAGGAGATTGTTGAGAAACAAATGTCAGTTGCGTAAGTCTTATATTGCTTGAAAAAGTGAAGGTTGAGATGACCTATACACCTATCACTTTAAAGTTTTAGATGAATACGTGATGTCTCTCTTACATGTTTAGAAGAGTCTTTGACATTATTTAGGTGACTCTTAAACCCAATTGAATGTTTTTCCCTCCGAACGACTATTAAATAGTACCATTGGGGAATAAATCACTCATCAACGATTTAAAGCATTAATCATAAACAATATTGAGTACTAAAAAGAAATGTAATTATATAAATAAAAATTGAGTAAATAATATAGGTCACACAAGTTTAGAGAAAAATCATATAAAGGGACTTACACTAAGGAAACGTAACTACTCATAGTGTCAACAATCGTAATTATAATATCCTATAATTTTATTAGCTAATGACTCACTAGAACTTAAAAGGCTTTTTAGGTGAATTAAGAGTATCTAGGGTTGTTTTGGAATAAAAGTCGTTATGAAAGGAAAAGTAGAATTTTCACTTGAAGATATAAAAGAGAAAAGTTAGAAAGTTCAATCATTATTCTTGTGATGATACAAGAAGTTCCGAGAGCTCTTGAGGAGAAGAAGGAAAAACTTAATCAAGTTTCAAGGCTTTGGAGGATAACTTGAAGAAGCAAGTGGGAATCTTGAATCATCAAAATTTCTCTTCTACACTCAACATCTTATGTGTCTTAAAATTAGAAGCAAGACACAAGATGGATTTTGTTCGAACTGTAGTAAAGTGACAAAAAGTAAAAACTTAGATTTGAAAGGATTCCCTTCGAAATTTATATCGTCTCCACAGGGATCGGTGCGAGAGAAAAAATTTCGTTCAACGGTCTCTACATTTTTAAGCTTGTTGTAAAAATTTGGTCAAAAGATCAACAATACAATAAATAAAGGCAGAGAATATAAAGACAAAAAATATAAAGTAAATACTCAAATATAAAAGGAGTCTTGTTGGGATTGGATCTCATCAATTGATAACACATGCATTCTTCTGATCATGTTATACACAACTCAAACGTTCGTCTAATACCATCACGTATCACCCACAACAAAGATTATGTCTAACACAAAGTCGAGAGGTCAACCGTATTGTCTCATCGGTGATGTCTCATGCAACAAAACCAACACATAGCATTAACAACTGATACTCACAGAATGTTAAACCTAAATCTATGTATAAAGTTTAGACCTAACAGATATTCAAATAACATCCATATCAAATTAATGATTTGATTCATATATAACGCCATGATTAGAATACATACACATGATTAACCCTTTTTACATGTATTCAACTAATTTTCCAAATGTATGTGAACATAGTCCTTCATCACTATTAGCATGCATCCTCGTAATACCGTTTGTCAAGCATTATTGCGGTCTTTACCGTATTGATCCTACTCATGCTACTAATCAACACAATAAAATAAAAGTGATACTAGTGAATATCAACTTATAAGCCTATGTCAAAAGTTTGTTCATTGATAGATTAGGATCTTAGATCAAAGATTTGAAAAAGGTTTTGTCAAGACCCGCAAATAAGAAATTAAAGACAACATCAATAGAGAATCAAAACTAGTTTACAATACATAAATTAGATGAAATACATGAGGTATCAAAAGATTATATCCAAACTCAACAAAAAAATTGAAACTCTTACCCGAAGATCAAGATTCGAGTTGCTTTGACTTGTGCTTCTCCCTCTTAGGGCTTGTGTTTCTCTCTTTAGAATTTCCTTGAAATGAAGAGAGATAAAGTTCTGATCCCCAAATATATTCTATGCTTCTAAAAAGTGAGAAAAATATTTATATAGTATTTATAAAATATGTCATGTTCGCACTGCGAACCATTTCTTTGCCTAACGAACACACTTTTAGGCACCTGAAGTTCCTCTGAACAGTTAAACCACCCTTGAGAAATATCTGAAGTTCGCTGTGCAAGCAATTCTTCGCACTGCGAACTACCTCGCTACAAGTTCGCATAGCGAACTTAGGGTCCTTTTGCTACTAACTTCATCTAGGATGGTTCGCTGAGACCTCGCTATAGTGAACATTCGCTGCTAGTTTACCCAATGAACTTACTGCCCTTTTCTTACTGCCATCTTCTTGAGATGGTTTTTTGAGGCTCTGCCATGAGTTCGCCTATGAACATTCGCTGGTATTCCTTGCTGGCAATTCGTGCAACGAACATGCTGAAACTCTTCTCTTCCTTGTCCAATTACTCGTGTCTTAAACTTTAACGTTGTTATGCTTAAATCCTGCACAATAACACACACATCAAAGAGTCCAAACGTATTTGCAATATAATTGAAGAATCACACGAGAACAAGAAATACATCTATTAAAACATGAGAATTGATTTGAAAAGTGCCAAGAAATATGATTCAATTTAAGTCAAAATTAGCACTTAACAGGTTCCTAAACTTAAGTTGTGATATTGGTTAGCCAAACATAGGAATCTAGCATGTGGTAAAGTAGGAATTTTATCATTTGTAAGATGAACGCATGCTAGAATTTAGGTTTTTGACTTGCTATATTGTGTGATTCTATGTGATTCTCTGTGTTGAATGAGGCTATGAATATTCCTAGATGAAGCTTAGGGGTTAGGGGAGCCTATTACAAGAATAAAGGTGAAATTCTAGTGTAAAGATGATTTTTTTTCAGGATGAATGATCCGACTCATGAGGCCTTTGAATAAATTCAAAAAGTGTGAAATTAAAAAAAAATCTACGAATCATATCACAGACATGCTTGATTCGATTGAAGCTAGGGCGAGTTTTGAATTTTTTTGTGTGAATTAGATCATGAAAGTTCATAAATTGATTCATAAACTCAACACATGCTTAAAAAAACCTATCTTTTATGTTTCAAATCCCAATTTAAGTTGGCTTATGATCCTTAAAATTGATAGCATGATCATGGGCATGAATACCATTAAATTTGGCTTGGAAACAAGTAGTCATTGACAAAGAAAATGATCAAATCATGGAGATTTCATGAGTAATAGAGATTAATCTAAGAATACTGAATGACTTGTGTACCAAGGAAGGGATTATGTATACCTAAACTAGTAAGGACCATTATCATAACCCATGTTGTGTTAGGATATGTAACCCTTAAGGATAATCTTGACATGCTTTGGCTTGAGAGATAACACACATACTGTGATTAATTTACTATATGTGATAAGATAGTGACGTGAATACACATTATGTTAATGTCAATATTAGTTAGTGAATACATGACGACATTCTAGTGACTCAACTAGAGGATGTTTGATTTATCCTAATCCCGTAACCGGAGGATATATGATTTTGTCCCTGTGACCATATTGTAGGATATGTTATTTATCTAGAGAATATGGTTAAGTGGATATGTGATTTATCCTAGTGATTCAATTACGAAATATGTGATTTATCCTTCAGATCGGAATTTGCAGGTATGTGATTTACCCTAGTTATCCAGTTAGGCGATATGTGATTTACTATGGTGGATTAGTAAACAAATATGTTATTTATTCCAATACTTCTAATAGGATATGAGATTCATCAAGATATAAATTTGAGTTCACTTGTACTGATTAGCTGGCCTCAAAATTGTTGGAATTCAACAACAACCTATGGAGGATTTCACTCAATCTTGATCTCGAGATTGTTATCAATCACACAATGACAATGAAAAAGTTTGAGAAAGAAAGAAAGAAAATAAAGTTGAAGAAGAAGAAGAATGAATATTCTGCTGAGTTTCTCTCTGCCCACAACCTGTGGAAACTTTCTTTATTCACTTGCAACTGCAAATTCTGTGAATACAAGGTTATGAGTTCTTATTTATTACAAAATAATGGTTGCTCCCTATTTATAGATTTAAGTTAGCTTGCACCCCAATCCA